TTTGTAATGAGGATGTTGCTGGCTGAGCCGATATTCACAATGCATCACCACAAGTCTTTGAGAAAATGCTGGTGGGCTGCCTTCTTGAACTGCTGCAGGCCATTTGGTGTAGACACCCCCACAGGACTGTTTGGGAAGTCCCAGGATTTTGACACTGAAGGAATGGAAAAATATTTCCAAGTCAGGATTGTCAGGAAATAAAACAAAGAACTGCAGCTAGTGGAGATCTGAAACAAAGACAGAAATTGCTAGCGAAACTCAGCATATCTGGCAGCATCTGTGGGAAGAAAGCAGAGTTAAATGTTTGCATCTGGTGACTTCACTAGAAAATATTTTTGTTTCAGGATTGTAAGTGGGCTTGGCAAGGAAGTTGCAGGAGGTGTGCTGCCGTGTATCTGACCCTTGTCTTTTGAGATGGTAGTGGTCATGGGTTTGGAAAATGCTGTCTAAGCAGCTTTGTGAATTTCTGCAGTGCGTCTTGTAGATGGTACTCACTGTTGTTAGTGTGTCATGGTAGAGGTACTGAATATTTGTGGATGTGATGCTAAACACGTGGGCAGCTTTGGTTGAGCTTCTAGAGTATTGTTAGAGTTGCACTCATCCAGGCAAGTGGGGAATATTCCATAACACCTGACTTGTCCCTTGTAGATGGTGGACAGGCTTCAGGAAATCAGGAGGTGAGTTTCTCACACAGGATTCCTAGCCTTATAGCCACTGTATTTCTACAGCTAATCCACTTAAATTTCTGCTGAAAGTTAACTCCCATGATGGTGATAATGGGGAATTCAGCAATAGTAATACCACTGAATGTCGAGGGAAAAATAATTGGATTGCCTCTTGCTTGAGATGGTCATTGCTTGGAACTTGTATAGGGTGAATTTTACTTGCCATTTGTCACCCCAAACCTGGATATTGACCAGATTTGGCTGCATTTGGACCTGGACTGCATCAGTATCTGAGAAGTTGCAAATGGTGCTGAACATTGTGCAATCATCAGCAAACAGCCTCACTTCTGGAGGTGGGTTTCATTTTAATGGATGGTCACATCACAGTGATAGGGGGCAATTGTAGATAGGAGGATGGAAACTCAGTGAATGGGAACAGACTGGAAGCTCCAGAAGGGAAAAGTTCCAATCGTTCACAGTAACTCAGGCTCTGTACCATCCAATTATCAATGTCTAACAAGTGCTTGGGAATTCCTAAAGCCAGGAACTCTGAAGGTAAAGTGGAGAGGTGAATAATTATGCAAAGATGTTCAGCAGAAATGGCAGGAAGCTGGAAGTTCACGGGGCCTTGGACAGAAACACAAAAAGGGACATGAAGCACGGGGGCGGGGAAAGTCCATGTGTCATAAGCCAAGCTTGAGAGTCACTCACTGAAATGAAGCAAAACCTTGCCATGTTGGACTGAAAGTCCACTGCGGAAAAAAAAACTCATTATGGCTGACATCACCTGACATCACCCTTCTGGGGTGGACTAATCGTCTTTGAGCTTGAGGCTGCTCTGTACGTCAATAAGACGTAGGAAGAGAAGTAGACCATTCAGCCTGTCGAGTTAGCTCCATTATTCATGAATCGTGGCTGATATGGTGATCCAGGGCACTCAACTTTCCTGCTTTTTCCCCATAACCTTGATTCCCTTATTGGCTGGAATTAAGAACCGACTGATAACTACAAAACCATTGTCAATTATCGGAGAAACCATCCCGTTAACTAATGTCCTTCAGGGAAGGAAATCTGCCATCCTCACCTGGTCTGGCCTTCATGTGACTCCAGACCTACAGCAGTTGACTCTCAGTTGCCCTCTGAAGTGGTCTAGCAAGCCACTCAGTTATATTAATCGCTATGAAGTCTCAACAAAGAAATGAAACCAGGTGAACGACCTAGCATTGACCTAGGCACTGGAAGAGACAACAGTAGAAATGGCCCTGCAAAGTACTCCTTACTGACATCTGGGGGCGAGTGCCAAAATTGTCTCACAGACTAGCCAAGCAACTGCCTGAAGTAGTCATTAACATGGAATCATATCTTACAGACAATGTCCCAGAATCACCATCCCTGGATACGTCCTGTCCCACTGGCAGGACAGACCCAGCAGAGGTGGTGCACAGTGGTATACAGTCAGGAAGGAGTTGCCTTGGTAGTCCTCAACATTGACTCTGGACCCCATAACGTGCTGTGTCCATCCAAAGCAGCAGAACTGTACTCCAACATCATCTGCAACCTCATGGCGCAGCATATCCCCTGCTGAACCATTACCATCAAGCTGCGGGATCAACCCTGGTTCAACGGAGAGTGGAGGAGGACATTGCCAGGAGCAGCACCAGGCATACCTAAAAATGAGGTGTCAACCTGGTGCGCCTAACAAGTAAGGCTACTTGCACGTCAAACAGCACAAGTGACAGTCAGAGCTAAGTGATCCCGCAACCAACCAATCAGATCTAAACTCTGAAGTCCTGCCACATCCAGTCATGAATAGTGATGGACAATTAAACGGCTCACTAGAGGAAGAGCTTTCATAAATATCCCCATCCTCAATGAAGAAAGAGTCTGATACATCAGTGCAAAAGATAAGGCTGAAGTATTCACAGCCAAAAGTGCTGAATGGATGATCAATGATCACCATCACAGATACTAGTCTTTAGCCAATTCAATTCACACCACATGATATCAAGAAACAGTTGAAGGCACTGGATACTCCAAAGGCTATGGGCCCTGACAATATTCAGCAATAGTACTGAAGACCTGTGCTCTAGAACTTGTTGCTTCCCTCGCTAAGCTCTTCCAGTACAGTTACACCACTGGCATCTACCTGACAATATGGAAAATTGCCCAGGTACGTCCTGTAGACAAAAAGCAGGACAGGTCCAACCAGGCTAATTACCATCCCATCAGTCTACTTTCAATCATCAGTAAATCATCAACATTGTCATCAACAGCACTATCAAGCAGCATCTGCTCAGCAATAACTTGCTCAGTCACACCCAGTTTGGGTTCCGCCGGGGCCACTCTGCTCCTGACCTCATTTACAACGTTGATTCAAACATGGACAAAAGACCTGATGTCCAGAGGTGAGGTGAGAGTGACAGTCCTTGACATCAAGGCTGCATTTGACTGAATGTGGTATAAAGGGGTCCAAAGAAAACCACAATCAGTGGGTATCAGGGGACGAACTCTCGGCTGGTTGGAGTCATACCTGGCAGATAGGAAAATGATTGTGGTTGTTGCACATCAGTCATCTCGGCTTCGTGACATTTCTGCAGGAGTTCCTCAGGATAGGGTTGTAGGTAGAATCATCTTCAGCTGCTTCATCAATGACCTTCCCTCCACTGTAAGGTCAGACGTGGAGATGTTCAGTGATGATTACACAATATTCAGCACCATTTGCAGCTCCTCAGATATTGAAGTAGTCTTATGTTCGAATGCAACAAGATCTGTACAATGTCTAGGCTTGGACTGACAAGCGGCAAGTAACATTGCCTGGCATTTGTGTGACGCCAATGACCATCTCCAATAAGAGATTATGTAATCACCGCCCCTTGACATTCAATGGTATTACCATCACTTAATCCCCTGGATCGCCAACTTTGGGAATACCAGAAACACAACTGAACTCACCACATAAATACAGTGGCTACAAGAGCAGATCAGAGGCTGAGAATACTGCAGCGCTTCCTTACTCTCTCAAGCCATCTACAAGGCACAAGCCAGGAGTGTGCTCGCCTGTAGGATTGGGTGCAGCTCCAACAACACTAAAGAAGCTTGACACAATCCAGAACAAACCAGCCTGTTTGGCACCACCGCCTCCACTACCGACGCCCAGGAGCAGCAGTGTGTATGATCTGCAAGATGCACCTGCGCAAATTCACCAGAGATCCCTGGACAGCTTGTTCCAAACCCACAACCACTTTCATCAAGAAGGACAAGGGCAGTAGATCCATGGGAACACCGCGACCTGCAAGTTTGCCTCCTCCACCATCCTGACTTGGAAATATATTGCTGGGCCAAAATCCCAGAATACCCTGCCTAACAGCATTATGGGTCAATCTATAGCACGTGGACTGTGACATTTCAAGAAGGCAGCTCACTGCCACCTTCTCGGAGGAGTAACTAGGGATGAGCGATTAAATCCTGGAACATCCACATCCCACGAATGAGTTAAAAAAGAAACATGAGGTGAAATGCTGGAAACACACTCGTCTGTCAACGTTTTGGTGGAATTAGAAACTGCTATACTAAAATTTTTTTGATTGCATCCGTTATTTCTGGTGAAGAATAAGGTTTGGGATCTTACCGTACGTGTCTTTACCAGGTGCTGATTCGCCTTTAATTTGCTCTGATCAGACAACACTTCTAATTGTGATGATGTGTTAAAACCTCCTTTAAATCACAATGTAACTCCCCTCCAGGTGAAGAATCGATGCATGTGTCACATAATTCAGTTACGTTCTGAAACTATTTATTTTGTAGTTGCAGATATTGGATAATGTGAACTGCATGTTGTGAAAACTGACAAAAATCTACCTAGCAACTTGAAATTAGAAAATGTGTTGGAAATACCAGACTTGAGTTTTTTTCTATATCAGGCTTCATATCTTGAAGCAACCTAATACAGAGATGCAGTGCGCTGCTCCCGCAGGATCAATTCAGGCAGAGAGCCAGTCAATACGTTGAGAGGCTGGTGTCAGCAGTTTTAGGTGGTATTCGTGGCGCAGTATTTGCAAACTGATGGATTTCTGAGTAGTCCAGTTAGTCGTTGATATGGAGAATGCTTTGCAAGATCTGAAATTTCTCTTTTGTCTAGACATGTGTGTCAACTGTAAGGTCTTTTCATTCAGCTACCTTTGCAAATTTTTGGAGCCTGGGAGGGAACCTGTCATGGATGTGCTTCTAATTCTGCATTTAGGTTGCTGTTTAATGCATTGCTTGTTTTGAGCTGTTAAGTCCCTGAATGAAAGCCTATTTCTCTGCACTCTCACTGTTTTTCTCTGTGCATTGCAGACACATGAATGGAGCAAGAATGATGACCGACTACTGCAAGCTGTGGAGCATGGCGACACAGAGAAAGTGGCAGCCCTTTTGGGTAAAAAAGGGATCAGTCCCACAAAACTGGACAGTGAGGGCAAGTCTGCGTAAGTGAACCATAGACTCACTCCTGTTCTTTAAAGTAAAACTGTATTTTTCTGTTGTTTTCTAGCTTGTCAGGGATTAATTCATTTTCTTAAAAAAATCAATTCTATGTTATAGTTAGAACAGCTAATTGTTATCACGTTATTTCTGCAATATTAGATCTTAATACAACTTGTGGTGATATATCCTCCCCTGAGTGTTGGAAATCCCAAAGGGAGGAAGTATTATGTTGGTAGTAGAAATGCTGTTTTTAAAAAATGATTGTTGGTTAGTACTGAATATTAACTGTATACAGTAAAGATTATGTTTCTACTATTTCAAGTCTCAGATCGCCATTGAGAATTACCTTTCGTCTTCGACTTAGAAAAGATCTGCATCAGTGACGCATCTTTATTGCACATTATGACAACAAGTTTTTGAAGTTAATGATGTTACCAGAACTTTTATTTTTGAATGACATTGATAACTAGTATGAAATTTAATATAAGCTCTTTGGAAGTTGATCTGAACTGTGTGTAATATTATAATAAATGTAGATTTTGGCAGAAATGTAATGTAGATTTTTAAAATATTCTATTACAGGAAATATCATAAATCTACATCAGTCTTCATTTTGGTTTTTGTTATCACAGATTCTTTGCATTTTAAATCCCCATTTTGCATGTTTGTTGCATATGTAAACAAACTGAATTAATTAGCTGCTTTGGATAAAGGACAACTGTCATTCATCAGATCTTTTAAGATGGTTTCCAGCTTTCTGTCTGGTACTGCAGAAAAGAAATCAATTTGATGCCATACTTGATATTTATGATTGACTTCAGTCACAGAAATTGTTCTAAGGTCGTCATAATTTCCTTCATGATGAATGAGTTTTGTAAACGTTATTGCATAGAATATATATGACTGCTATGTCATTATTGATATTGATTGGAATTTTGCAAGTTGTGAACATATGAATTACGAGTAGATCATTGAGCCCCTCAAGCCTGTTACAGCATTTAATAGGATTATAGCTGATTTGTTTGTGTTTGGAATTCCACATTTCCATCTTCCCTGATAACTTTTGATACCCTCACCTAACAAAGATCTATCTCTGCCTTAAAAACATCGATACCATCTTCACCACCTTCTGAGGAAGAGAGTTCAAAAGTTGTATAATGCTGTCAGGGAAAAGTATCATCCATCTCTCAGTCCTTCAGGGGTGACCCTTAATTTTGAAATAGCATCCTGTAGCTCTGGCTCATGCACAGGAGAAAACATCTTTTTGTACTTCAATCTAGTCATTCTTCTAAACTCTAGTGAATGCTCACCCAATTTGTCCAACCTTTACCATAAGAGAACCCACACATTCCAGGTATCAATCTATAAATTTCCTCTGAACCACCACCACCACCATTACTACCAATCCCTCCTTTATTAACTGCACACAACATTCAAGATGTAGTCTCAGTGATGCCCAATATAACTAGAGCAGTAACATCCTTACCGTTATGTTCAATTCCTCTTGTTGAAAAGTATAGCGTACGTTAGCCCCCATAATTACTTGCTGTAGCTGTGTACAGTACATTAATACAAAGGCAGTTAGAGATTTAGCTCAGTTGGCTGGACAGCTGGTTTGTGATGCAGAGAGATGCCAACAGTATCGCACTGGCTGAGGTTACCATAATTCTCCTTATTGACCTCTCCCCTGGCCTGTGGTGCGGTGACACTCAAATTATACTGCCACCAGTCAGCTCTCTCTCTCATGAGACTATGGTGACTTGACTTTTTTTTAACCTTTGCTTTATGCCATGTATCTGTCATCTTATCAAATGCCTTTTGGAAAATCAAATGCAGTACATTTTCAGACTCCTCTTTATTCACATTGCATGTTACGCCTTCAGAGAGTTCCAATAAATTAGTTAAACATGATTTCCCTTTAATAAAGCCGTGTTAACTCTTTCCAATTGCTTTGAGCTTTTCTAAATGAGTAGCTATAATCTCTAAAATGACTAATGTTAACAACATCTCCATGACAGATATCAAGCTAACTGGTGCAGTGTTTCCTGCTTTCTGCCTCTGTCTGTCTTTTTGATTAAAAGGATTTGATTTGCTACTTTCTAGTCTCTTAGAACTGAAACCAGTGAATTTTGGAAAATTAACACCACCCTCACTAGCTATTTATATTAAGACATATGGAAAAGGTCGATCAGGTCTGGGGACTTGTCAGCTTGTCGCTTCATTGGTTTGCTCAGTGCTACTTAAGACCATAAGACATAGGAGCAGAAATTAGGCCATTCGGCCCATCGAGTCTGCTCCGCCATTTAATCTGGGCTGAAAGGTTCCTCAACCCCATTCTCCCACTTCCCCAGTGTTTACAATTTCACCAAATTCCTTCGTCTCTTCCACCTCCAGATTTATAGCTATTACGATAATGTAATTTATATCTTCGATAATGAAGACAGAAGCAAAATATTTGCTCATTTCAACTGCCATTTCCTTGTTGTCTACAATTAACTCTGCATCTTCAATCTCTACAGGAACACACTCATTTTAGTTACTCATTTTGAGTACCCGAAGAAACTCTGTTTTTGCATTTCTTGGCTAGTTTTATCTCCTTAATATTTTTCTCCTGATTGATCTTAGTTTTTCTCTGCTATTCTTCATACAAAATTGTTTTGAAGGGGGTGACACAAGTGGTCTCTATAAAACTGTAGATTCCTCTTTGAGTTCTCACCTGTCATTCATGCATTTCACAATATCAAAAGAAACGTACTTACAGAGTAAGAATGAAAAAAATCTAAACTGTAGTTAGCTTTATAATTGGTCTGCGTGTTGTTGGACTTGGGAGGAAAGGTTCTGTCAAAATTACCGTTCCTATGTTTTATCGATTGGTTACTGCTGGAAAATCTATGTAGATGCCAGGACAGGATTAGGAGGTAAAGTGTCAGGATGGTCTTCAGAGCTTAAGAAACTGAATGCACAGCTTTTGGCAATGAAGCAACTAGGATTGGAAGGAAGCAAGATACTTGAATTGGAGGGGTAGGTTGGAGGTAATTCAAGAAAGGGAGATGCAAGGCCATGGACAGATTTGTAAACAAGGATGCGAATTTTAATATTAAAATGTTGTTTGACCAGGAGGTAATGCAGATCAGGAAAATTGGAATTGCTACATGTTAAGTCACAAGCAACAGAGGTTTGGATGAAACAACAAACAGAAATTGCTGGTGAAGCTCAGCAGGTCTGGCAGCATCTGTGGGAAGAAAGCAGAGTTAAGATTCAAGCCCAGTGACCAGATGAGCTTGGATGACCTTGTGTTAAGGAGTATGAAATGCGGGATGCTGGTCAGGAAAGCATTAGAATGAAGAAGCCAAGAGGCAGTGATGTAATAGAAGAAGACCAGCAGCAGATAGATTCAAAAAATGAGGGGGATCTCATAGAAACCTTTAAAATTATAACAGGACTAGACAGGATAGACAGGGAAAGAATGTTTCTCATGACAAAGGAACCCAGGACTCGGGGTTACAGTCTAAGGATATAAAGTAGGCCATTTCATTTAGGACTGAGATGAGGAGAAATATTTTCAACTAGAGAGTGGTGAGCCCTTGGAATTCTCTGCCCAGAAAATGGTTGTGGGCAAGACATTGAATGCTTTCAAGAAGGAGTTATATGTAGTTCTTATGGCCAAAGGGATCAAAGGTTATGGGAAGAAAGTGGGAGCAGGGTTCTGATTGAATGATTAGCCATGATCAGCTTGAATAGTGGAGCAGGCTTGAAGGGCCGAATGGCCCACAGCTGCCCCCATTTACTATGTTTCTGTGAAATGGGTTGAAACTTAGCAATATGGTAGGCTCATCCAGAAAATTAAGATGCATGGGATCCACAGTGACTCAATCACATGGACTCAGAATTGGCTTGCCTGTACAAGACAGGGGGTATCTGTGGCAAGCTGTTTTTCAGGCTGGAGGTCCGTGACTCATGGTGTTCTGCAGGGATCGGTACTGAGTCCTCTGCTGTTTGTGACATAGGTAAATAACTTAGATGAAAATGTAAATGGGTGGCTTAGTAAGTTTGCAGACGATACAAAGATTGGTGGAGTTGTGAATAGTGTAGAAAGTTGTCATAGGATACAGCGGGATACAGATAAGTTGCAGATATGGGCAGAGAAATGGCATTTGGAGTTTAATCCAGGTAAGTGTGAGGTGCTGCACTTTGAGAGAGAACAAATGTTAAGGAAATGTATATAGTTAATGGCAGGACTCTGAACAGCAGTGATGTACAGAAGGATCTTGGGGTTCAAGTCCATAGCTCCCTGAATGTAGCCACGGAAGTAGATAGAGTGGTAAAGAAGGCGTATGGCATGCTTGCTTTTATTGGTCAGGGAATTGAGTACAAGAGTATGTAAGACTTTGTTAGGCCCCATTTAGAGTATTGCATTCAGTTCTGGTTGCCACATTACAGGAAGGATGTGGAGGCTTTGGAGACAGTGCAGAAGAGGTTTACCAGGATGCTGCCTGGATTAGAGGGTATGAGCTGTAAGAAGAGTTAGAAAAACTCAAGTTGTTTTCTCTTGAGCGACACAAGCTGAGGGGAGACTTGATAGAATTCTGTAAAATTATGAGATGCAAAGATAGGGTTGACGGTCAGAATCTTTTTCCCAAAGTTGAAATATCTAAAACTAGGGGGCATGCATTTAAGGTTAGAGGGGGAAGGTTCAAGGGAAATGTGAGGGACATGTTTTTTTACAGAGAGTGGTAGGAGTCTGGAATGCACTGCCAGGGTTGGTGGAAGAGGCAGATACAATAGGGGCATTTATGGGGCTTTTAGATAAGCGCATGAATATGCAAGGCTTGGAGGGATATGGGCCAATGGCAGGCAGAAGGGATTAGTTTCATCTGGCATCATGTTGGGCACACCATCATGGGCCGAATGGCTAGTTCTATTTTCAGTGTTCTGTATTCTAATATTGGTTTGGCAGCTGCTGCCTGAGGAGCCTTAGAGAATTTCTGCAGTGTAGATGATG